TGGGTGGAGGAGGAAACAAGTACTGACACAACTTTCTAGAAGGAGAAGCAAAGGGAGTCAGGGAAGCAAGATCAGATCCAGGGAGGAAGGACAAAGTAGAAGTCCAATGCCCCACACAGCTTATACTGCCCATTGCCAGCACTGCATTTGTGCCCTGCGATCCAGACAGGATCAAACTACTAAATCAGTTCTCCAGGTCCTTCCCTTTTCGCTTCCTTCCCTGCAATTTAGAATTGTCGTTTTTTGTTCTCCTCTCCTCCAGCTCCCAAGACAGTAATTTAGCTTTGAGTTTGCTTGTCCCAAGGTTTTCCTGCCTCTGCCCTCCACATCTGGACAAACTCCAGCTTCCAATCCCCTGTTCTGTCATGGCTTTCAAAAGATGTTCTTGCTTCTTGGCCACCATCTCCTCCCGGCTCCAGATCAGAATGTTAAAGCCTGAGAGGAAAAATTAAACAATGTGCGTCAGAAAGTCTACATCAAACATAATACCTGAGGCTACGTCACTTAACTGCCAAAGATTCAAAATGCTTTGTCTGTTATAAGTATTTCCAAGGTACAGAGTATGCAGAGATATTTACTGCAGACACTATCTCCACACAGCCACGGAAATTTGATCTAATTAAGAAACACAGGTAATTCCTAATCTCATCTGTCACAGGCCTCAGACCTCAGTCTATAGCTAGCTCCCTCAGTCCCACGTAGCCTGCGAAAAACGGGGTGATCTTGGCTCCGCAGCCCAGGAACCGCAGCAAATTAACCGCAGGGAGAGGGTAAAGCGCCCCCCGCCCCGATGCCGCCAGGCGGCAAAACCCCGGACGGCCGCCTCGCGCCGCCGTGACGCAGGGGCTGCCCGCAGCGCGCACGGTACCGCCAAGGGAGGAAGACCGAGGAGAAGGTCTTCGTCTCCTTTACAGGGGTAGGAGGTGACACAGGGCTCCTAGCGAGTGGACCTGGGACAGCCTCGCTCACAGCTCGCCTCAGCCTGGAGAAACGCGCTGGCCCTTCTCCGGGCCCGGGCCCGCCGTGATTCGCGCCCCGGGCTGCCTCTACTCACCCATGCCAGACGCCAGCGTGTCTCCCATGGGGTTGAATTTATTGAGCTGCAAACGGAAACACAGCCGGAGTCTGTGAGAGCACCACGGCTTATGGAACAGCAACAAACCAGCAACAAACCTTCCAGAAAACCCAACATTCCCTAAAGAGCATCACAGAACGCCCCCAGATGACCACGGACCAGCCCTGCTCCGGTCAGCAGCTTTAGCCGGCGGCCATGCCCCCACAAGAGCATGAGTCTGTCACCAGTAAAGAGGACACTCCCTCTGTTCTAGGCCCTAGCCCATCAGTCCTGGCTGCAGTTCAACACACAGCGGTGCCTTTGGCTGCAGTGCTTAACTCACCGAGATGATACCAGAAGCATTCGGGTCATGGAGTTGACAAACCATCTCCCCGGTGTTTCCATCGAATACATCAACAGTTCGTGGCTCATTCACTGTGTACCCTGGGAACTTCGGGTCTGGGTAGCGACCTGCTACAATGAGGTCGTAGCGAGGGTGCCATGTTGCCTAGTCACAGAGCAGAGCGATGGGGAGTTAAGAGAAAGGGGCAGAGCTCACACTGACACACACCAGACAACCGGCAGCGTGAGCAGCGGGTTGCACACTCCACCCACCACCTGAGGAACACAGGCACCCTCAGAACAGTGCTCTGCTGGGAGCTGCAGCAGTGTGAACAGCCACTCACCAACACCGTATCCTGAACAGAAACCAGAGCATTCCTGACGTACGGCCGGCTGCTAGCACCAAGCCTGACGCTCCTCTCACTGCGCCGCTGGCTTAACTGACCTTAATAGGTGTGAGGTGCTGAAACTGCCGATGCGGGTGTGGGATCAGGTGCTGCGGCTTGGTCCAGTCTGAAGATGAGTAAACCCTGATCTCATTGCGCTGGTCTGTGCTCAGGAGCTTGGCACCGTCTGTTGGGCTGAAGTAAGCTGGGAGAGGGGGACAACAAGGCAAAGGAAAGATCACAATGCTGTGATAGAGAAATGCGACTTTTATGTTTCTTGTCAGATTGGAAACCTACTGCTGTTTCTTTAACAGGGATGTGAATACTGCCATGTGTCCCCACAGACAAGACTTTACCTGTTTCAAACAAGCTCTGAGCTCTCACAATCAGTAAGCTGAAACCTACAGCACTAGGTTACATAGGAAGAATCATTCTTCTCATTTTAGAATCGCAGGAAGAAACAAAGAAAGGAACTTGCTTGTTCAAGTGGAAAATTAGTGGAAAAGCTGGAGACAGACAACTACAGTTCGGACTTCCATGAACTGGTAAAACTGCACCCAGGAAACAGGGGTTTGAGTCCTATGCTCTGCTTTTGTCAAAGTAAGTGCTCCCAATAAATGTGGTTTTCTAATCTCAGCCATTGCTGATGTTTTCACACTCACCTCTCAAGGCACCGTGCCACAGCTATATGGCAAGTCTAGGCTGTGCTGAAGCTGCCCTATCCAGCTCCCCGCTCTGGCCACACATTGCCAATGCCTTGCTTGAACACTAGCTACTGTGCAACTTTGAATCCGAGTGAAAGACAACACTGCCACAACAATAAAAGCTGAGCTGAGTGGACTCTCTGCAGATGTCCATCCTTATCTCAACTCACCTGCATTGACAGGTTTGTCATGAGGAAGCAGATGAAGAAAATTCATTTTGTTTTTCATGTTTCTGAGGTCCCAGATTTTGACTGTCTGATCCACAGACGCTGTGGCCAACAACCACTCACATCGGGAGTTAAACTCCACATGAGTCACCTTCTTCTTGTGCAATTTCAGCTTCCAAATCTGCAGCAGAGGAAACAAAAAAAATCACACAGAAAAAAAATAATCAAGGTCTGGAGTAAAGAAATGGAATAATAATCTAGTAGTGCAGAGTAAAGAGGTCATGCATTTACACAGTAACAAAACTTTTAAAATACACCAGGCGTTTATCCAGTGGAAAACAGACAGGAGAAGAAAGACCTTGGGAACTAACTATTTAATTCTAGAAGTCTGATCCACCAATTTATTACAGCTATGAGAAATCCCTGGTTCATGGAGGGAAGCATTAGTGCCACTGTACAAAGCAAGATCTCATCGGGAATACTTTATGCAGTGCCCGTCTTCCACCTTGCAGAAAGATTAAAACAAACTGCAACAGGTACAGAAAATGCGCTGCTGAGATAATAATAAGGAAGGGCCTGCTTTTGTGGGAGTTTAAAAGGTCAGAGGAGATATAATTGACTTTTAGACATACATCAGCAAAGAAACATGAGGGTAGGAGAAATATTTCCATGAACAAGAATAAATGGATATAAACTCGCCATGAATAAATTTATATCCAAAGCCAGAAGATTATTTCTGATCAAAAGGGTGAAGCTGGCCCATCCTCCCTACGATGATGGGCATCTCCCAAGTGCAGAATCACATTCTTTCCAGAGAAAAAAAGGAAAGGAAGCAGCTAACCTTGAATAAGCACAAACCATTTGGAGCACTCCGGACTCTGCCCACTGATTTACACAGCTGCCTCTGGCCCCAGCTCACTGGGTGGCAAACTCTCACAGATGTGACCCTTACAGGGAGCAGAAACGGTAATCCCGGTGTGACGGTACAGCAGGCTCTTGGAAGCAGGGCCCACTCCAGCTACTCTCCAACATGTTTCTGGAAGGCGCAGTCTGCCTCTGCCTGCCCTCTCGTGTCTGCTGGCAGTAGTGCAAATTCTATCCCAACGCTCGCTGCGTTCCTGTTGTGTACCTGCTCCAAGGTCACAGAAGGGTACACATCAAAGCAGTATCTCCTAAGTGACTCCCGTCAGTGCACTAAGTTTCTGCAGTTGTGAAGGTCGTTGGCAGAGGGTGCCCACATCTTCAGGTTACTCTGTAATTACTCTGGCCAGCAGCAAATACTCGACACAGACCCTGTTTGGGAATTGCTACCATTACACTCAACAGCGTGAAAATGTCTAATGAATGGCAGAAGCAGAGGACTTCTCACCACCCAGACAATGGGTGGACTTATCTCCTGAGCTGCAAGGTACTGGCTACTCTTTTCAGGGTCCCTGTAGCGTAGAAAAAGCACATGAGACATGAAGATTCCCGTAGAGAAGATGCGGCACAGAGCCATACAAACCTCATCGCCAGCAGTGCTGAGCAGGACCACGTTGCCCACATTGTCACCTGTCACCACTGCCCGGCAGCTTGCAGAAACATCCACACTGCAGCATCAGCAACTAAGACAACATCAGCGCCGCCTCCCACAGGCAAGCGAAGGCAGCAGAGCCCTGGTTCACATCCCGACCCTGACACGGGGGAGGGCAACGGATTGTAACTGCACTCTCCTGCCTGACGATGTGGGCCCGAGTATCAGGAAGGGGGACAGCTGATCAGTAATGCTTTCTGTTGGTGACTGAATATGAAACAACTTCCTAGTCACCTGTGAAGTGCCCATTAGATGGCGTGTGACACACTGGGACTGTGGAACATAATGCAGGCTGAAAAGCCACTTGGTGCCTGCACACAGACACACCTTGGGAAGATCAGAACACCCTTGTGACACTGACAAGTGTACAGAAACAGCTTTAAAATTACGTTTTCCACAAAACACTGAAGCAGCAGTAAAGAAAAGACAAAAGCACTGGACTGGAAAGTTGCACATCAAACTGTCTCAACTTCATGCTCCAGGAAACAAAACTGAACAGAGACTTACCTGATAAAGACATAAGTCAACCCCAGCTCTGCTGGGAGGGGAAGAGCAGTGAGAAAAAAGCCAGGGTCCTTTGGAAACTTATTGGGAAAGCTTCATTTGCACAGATAAATTATTCCAGAATTCAAGGCCATGGAAATCAGCATGGTGAGCCTGAAGCCTCCAGAAAGGCAGCAGAATAAACTCAATAACCTGAAACTCAGATTATGCCGACATGTTTTGTGGCTGTCCTATGCTACCTGAACTGGTACAGACAAAACACACAGAACACTGATGACAATGAAGAGGAGGAACTTATCCTGCTCTTCTCACCTCACACTTTATGAACTGAAAAGCTGTCAGTATCTGCAAGACAGGAGAGGGTGTCACCAGAAAGCAACACCAGAAGACGCAGGCAGCATGCTCAGCTACTGTAAAAGTGTAAGTGCCCTGTGGCTGCCTAGCCTGTCACCCACCCTGCAGCGCTAGGGTCATGAGCAGGAGCCTGTCTCCAAGCTTCCTCACACCAAGAGTCTCCTAACACCAGCAGAGATGAGGAAGTTAGAGAGCACAAGCAGCAGCGCAGCGTTAACCCCATGGAACAGAGTATCAGCCTTGCACTGCTCCCTTCTCACCAAACATTATGGTGCTCATGGCCACAGTCCGGGGCACGGGAGATCACCTGCACCGCTCTGCCCTCAAGGTCCTGCAGACTTAGGGTGCCATCCCCTGATGCCACATAAAGCTTCACTGCCTCATAAGGACTGAACTTGATGTCTGCGAGGGAATCTCCTGGCCCTTTCTGGAATACACACAAAGCCAAGAGGCATCAAGGTTAGAGTGGAAGACAAAATCTTAACACAACGCTCATCTCCTGGAACACCCTACCCATTTCCCTAGGTACAATGCACTGCTTTCTGACAGGACAGATAGATAAGAACTCTTTTTTTTCCAGTGTTTCCAATCTGAGCACATACATTCTGAGCCTGTAAGTTCAACCCCACCACTCTGGGCTGCAAACCTCATTAGCAGCATCGCTTCTTCTGCTGTGGGGGTAGGACTAATCTGCAGTGAAACATCTGGCTCAGACCAGGCTTAGGAGATCACAAGCAAAACCGGCACCATTCCACACAGAAACCACATAAAATCTCATGACAGCCCTGCATCAAGCTTTTCTTACAGAGACTTCATTCACCAGTTCCCTACAGGCTGCTTCCAGTGCTGTATCTGGTCTTTCTCAAGGTACCAGCAGGCAGGATGAGTGGCGCAAGTAAAAATTCTACTGCTAACTCCATGGCACAGGAATCTTACATTCTTTGTTATGTTATATTGTTGTTAGGTCATTTTGTTATGTTCCTTTGCCCCCAGTCTGTCTACTGAGGAAGCATAGAAACCCTACAGAAAGGCAGAAAAGAAAGATGCTGGCTGGGACTCCCCAAACTCTTCAATACTCAAGTGCAATCCATTCGCTGCTCACAGAGCAACTACTTAATAAAGCCTTACTGTAAATACTAGATTTCAAGAAGCCAATGAACATAAACAAGGCCTGCCCATAGAGCTTGCCTGTCCTCAGAGCAGTAGGAGGAGGATGACACACCCTTTCAAACACAGGCATCATTGCTGTGACAGGCATCCCAGTGGGATACGAGTTCCTCACGTCCCAGGACCCAGCCTACCTCTCCTTGCTCACCTGGCCAGTCATCCCAGCACTACTTGGGTTCAACTTCTGCCCTATTACAAGGTTGCAGCTGGAACAGCCAATTTGGAAACAACTACAAAAGTTGCCACCCAGAAAGAATCAGGTGAGGAACTGTAAAGAGGAGGCTAACCCAAATTCTCTCACTTACCTTTAAACACTGAACTGAAGTAACTAATAGAAGAGCTCAAGCTTCCTCACGAATCCACAGAAAATGCAACAGTCTGAGAGCGTGATTCTAAGCACAGGCAGAGAGAGTAGCCTCTAGCAATTCATCTCCTCTTTCCACTCATTACTGAACGAGCCCAGACTCTTAATTTTGGTACTTTAGATAAGTACCAAAAGTTAGGTGGGATGAATCGGGATGATCCTTATGACACGCGTCTGTTGGAAGTCAGTGGTGTTTGTGGAGAAGCACTGAGGGGACTATAAATTGCCCTGTAAAAAACATCTGAAAACGAGCAGCACTGCTAACAGCTGAGAAGGTTAGAAGGTCCCCAGGGCACAGAGCTATGGGAGGTTTATGAACAGACAGCTGAGAAAATCCACTGGCACCCTCACACTCTCCCATGTACAATAAAAAGTAAGCAGCATCAAAAAGCTCCCCCCCTTCATGAAGAAAAGCTCTCTCCTACCCATCACCCCATTTTAGGGAACAATTAATCAGGAGAGTGAGGCTCCCTGGAAGAGAGAGGATCCCTGCAATTTAGAGGATAAAGGACATGTATGTGGAGAAGAAGCAGCCCAACTCCCACATATTAGAGACAAACATCTCTTTCTCTCTCTCCCTCTGCAGCGCTCCTGCCAGCAGGACACAGAGTGGCCCAAAGCATTGCTGTATTTCTTACTCCCAGTCCTCGGTGCTGGTGAAGACCCGGACAGTATTGCCATTAAAATCCTGCAGGGTGGTAGTGCCGGCAACTGACGAAGTGTACAGCTGACTAGGGTTAAAAGGGTTAAACTTCATTCCTGTGATGGCCCCTCCAGCTCCCATCTACAAGGAAGGGGATGAACAAAAGAAAAATCCACTGAGTGACGGGGAAGGAGAAAAGTGTGTTCTGCAAGTCTGCATTCACTGCTATGTCCTCAACAGGAACACTGAAACACACCACAGCCCTTCAAGGAGGCAAAGACAACCACGTCTTCCCACATGATGGCTGTCTAGACAGCTGCCCTCCTGGAGGACAAAACTGCAACTCCTTCAGTCCCCAGGCAATGTATCCCCTGGATGGCTGGCTCCACACTATTTACAAAAAGAGAAAGATGACCCTGGAATTTCTGGTGGATAGACCTCCTCCCAGTGTATACCTACATTAATTTAGAAAGGGGCCAAAAGTTAAGAGAGTCTTTGAGCCCCTATCAGAATGGGAATGGCTGAATACAGCAATGAGGGGGCATGCCAGCTATAAAAACCATTGGTTCTACTGTAGCTTCCCACTTTAGATAAAGGGACTTTGTTTCTCCCCACTCAAAGATGTTTCCTCATCTGACACAGAACAAAGGGCAAACAGAGAAAGATCAAGACTTAAACTAGACAAGCCCTCTCTGCCTACTTGTTTCTAGCATCCCTTTAAGGTAACTGTTTTGCCAGTTGCTGAATTACTTTTCCACTGAGTGCACACCAAGTACTGCTTCATTTTGAACTTAATCAGCACTCCTCAGTTCTCCCCACCAGTAGAACAGTCTGGGACTTAGGAACAAGCATGCTGTTGCATCTCAGTCCTGCCCCATAGCTGGCTGCTCTGCAACCCGACACCCTTACGTGCCTCTCACAGCAGACCTCAGTTTCGATCCGCAGTATTTGGTGGTACTCCAATTTTCCCTCCCACCCGTTCCACACACCCAGAGGCTTACCCCTTTTATGAAGCAGGTTTTAGTAAGTACTTCATAATCCCAAAGGATGATGTCTCCACCTTTGGAACCAACAGCTACGGTACTGGGGTGTGTTGGATGCCATTCCAGGCATGTCACTCTCCTGTCGAAGGGACTTGCTGTTCGAAAGAGGCGGTATGAGGCGAGAGAACGCAGAAAAGGCAGCTGCAGACACTGTTAAAAAGATAAAGACAATTATGACTTTTGCAGGGATCCACAAGATTCTCTGAATGAAGAGTGCTAACAATTTCTAATTGCCATCAGTGTTAGTATATTCACACAAAATTCTAAGCCTCTTTCTAGAACGAAGGGAATCTGCTGTCCCCAAGGGAAACAGCCTGTGACCACACAAATCCACATCAGCCACAGGACCCAGAAAGGTAGAGGACAGAGAGATACTACACTTTCAATGATGTACAGGGATTTAAGTCTCATGGGCTGAGCTAAAAAGGCAGGATAATTAACATTAACAGGAAGGAGAACATGGCTCCACATCAGTAAAAGGCACTCATGACTATCTGTGTCTACTGAGCATCCCAAGTTGTTACACATCATCCAGAGATACAATATCATGGTCCTCCATGCAAACTGCCTGCAGCTCAATCACACAGCATAAGAGGGAACAGAACACTCAAAATAGTGAATGAGAAACCATGACATGACTGTCTTGCTATTCAGCCAAGGAATAGGTACTGCTTGGATGAGCTGGGAGATTTCTTTGGATACTGAAAATAGATAAACCATATGGAATCTAAAGCTAGCCCAGGTGTTTCCCACCTATGGATGTTACAGAAAAAGTTAATTTTCAAATGAAAAAAGGAATATAGTTCTGCAAACAGTAAAACATTATGGACTTGATGGACTATGTCTGTGAAGAGGAAAAATCAACACTAAACCTGCCATGATTAGCAAAGTAGAGTGAATACAAAATTAGCAGGACAAAACGGTCAGATTAGTGTGCAAAAGTAGCACTGTGCAGCACTACTCAAATGGTAGAGTGGGTAAGTTTAAATATGATTCAAGGAAGCACAGAATTAACAGAGGGATAAAATGTAGAATGACAGGGCCAGGTCAACCGAAAGGGAAAGCCATCTCAGCTTTCGCATTTTACAGGATTAAGAAACATAAGGGTGCGCCAGACTTGGGAGCCACACACTCTCTGTGTGAGGAACTTGAAGCCCCTTTAAAGTTTCCCTTCGTGTGTTCAAGATAGCTTTATATAGGGAGCTGAGATGTCCAACAGGTCATGAAGGAGAAACTCCTCACCTGCCTGAGCTGTGCCCGAATGGAGCCTCCCAGCATGCTCTGGTAGACATAATGAACAATGCTGCGCTGCCGCTCCAGCTGATGGAAAAGGACTCCGTTGTTTCTCACTACAGACCCACCTCCACTCCAACCTGCCAGAGAGCAAGAGTAGAACTTACTGAGAGCTAACACCTGTCATGCTCATTCACCAAGAAACACAGGAAGACATCTGTATTTGCTGCTAAATCCACGAAAAGCTTCGGCCATGAGAGCAAATTCCCTAAATGATTCTTAGATCTCTTAAGGTGCAGCAGCTTCTGCAATTATGGAGTCCAGTGCTTCCCATAGCCTGCCAGAGTTTTGTGTATGCTTCCTCTTCTTAAATCTTCCTTCTCCCTGCCAAAGATTTATCAAAAAGACAACAAGAGAGGACTAAAGCAAAGCCATGGGCGGTGCATCTCTTGGTCAGTATACAACTTGAAGGGTTCACACCCAAAACACAATGAAGCTATGCAAAGCCCCAATAACTTGGAAATATGCCACAGGGGGTGGCAAGCCCCTGGGTACAGCAAAGGGAAGGTCAAATGTGTGACGAGCAGAAATGTTAACATCTGAAAATTCCCCAAGCGTAGCAACATGAGTTCCCACACAGTTCCTGAAATGCCTGCTTGTGAATCAGAATTTTCGATCTGCTCGTGCTGTAGCCCATAGAGTCTGCCTACAGCACTGCGAGTTTTGGTTTTGATAATAGACTTGCTGATGCCTCATCGCCTGAAAACCTTTCGTTCGGAGTGATTTTTGCTGAGAGTACAGCACGCTTCTACATTTTGTTCATGTTCCAAGTTTTTATCCTCAGGGACCTTTACATAAAAATCAGATCTGTTCAGTCCCCTGTCTGTGATCTAATCATCCCCATGGCAATGGTCTGTAACACTCCAGGGAAACCAGACATCAAACGGGAAAGAAGCATTTCTTAAGAAACAAAAACACTATTTTCATTTCAGGATAATGATAAGAAAAACAGAACACCGAAAACACAGGAATCACTCTGTATCATTAGAACCTAAACAAAATCTTTCTTTAATGCAACACTGGAGCCTAGAAATGCATGGGTGTGAAACTAAACTTCTTTGTTCATGAGTCAACATAGTGCCAATACTTGTCACACCTGTTGAAATAGGTAAAAAGGTATTTATAGTCTTTTTTTTTCACAGAATTACTATGCATAGTTCCTTCTTCAGAGGTGACAGAAATTGAGGTATTTTTTCCAAATTCCATTTTATTACAAAGGACAATTTATTATACAAATATACACAAACTTCAGGCCTTTTTAGAATCTGCTGGAAGAAACCCTTTGAAAAGGTGTTTCAATTGCAAGAAACTGAACCTGTCCTATATGGCTCAGGAGTAAAAAAAATATTTTTTCCAAGAAAATATAAAAATCAAAACCAGAACACAGAATGGAAAAGCTCAAATACAAAGGTCTTCATCTTTTTAAAAAATGGTTAAGGACAAAATATGATTGGTGTCATTCTTCCAAAGTACTAGCTATATCCAATTCCCTCTGAATCTTACAGGAACTGCAGATGCTCACCAAATCTGAAAATCAGGCCATGAAGTTACAATGAAAATCACGTAGCTAAATTAACTACAGAAGATGCTTTAACTATCCACAATTATACACAGAAGTCCTTTCAAACAGAGTATTTTGCCTCCACATCGCTGTTCACACGGCCAGCTGGTCCGAGTTTGGAGTTATACACCATACAACAGAAACATACAAAACCCTAGAACTCCCATACCTCTGACTGTTGAAAAACACTTCAGTAATTTCTGGATCCTTAAAGCCAAAATTGTACAGAGAGTGTGTAGTATTTCCACACAAGGCAGTCACTCCAGTGATCTCCTAAACAAACAATGGAATTTAAGGTTTTATCTGAGAAAAGCAGGCTCAGGGGACACCTTACCGATCTCTAAAACTATCTGAAAGGAGGCTATAGCAAGGCAGGTGTCAGCCTCTTTTCCCAGGTAACAAGCGATGGGACAAGAGGAAACAGCCTCAAGTTGCACTAGGGGAGGTTCAGATTGGATATCAGGAAAAACTTCTTCACTGAAAGGGTTGTCAAGCATTGGAACAGGCTGACCAGGGAAGCGGTTGAGTCACCATCCCTGGAGGTATTTAAAAGACGTGTAGAGGTGGTGCTTGGGGACATGGTTCAGTGGTGGACTTGATAATGTTAACAGTTGGACTCGATGATCATAAGGGTCTTTTCCAACCCAAATGATACTATGATTCTATGAAAATTGTCCTTATTGTAGCTGAAGCCTACACAACTTTCTTGATGATGCAAAGCACTAACGTTTCCAGTATCTTAGAACTTACCTCTCCCCATTATATCAAAAATCTTTAAGAGATGTTTTTTAAGTTACACACTAAAGGAAAAAAATGCACATGACCAGAGGTGGTTAGTGGAAATTCTGTCCAGTCTAATCTGAACGTAGAGGTAGAAAGTATTCCTACTTACTGTAGCAAAAGTTAGAATATGCAAAAAATTGGGTGGAAATGCCAGTTTAGACTGCATGCTGTAGGATACCAACCTTACAACTGTAAAACTGCAATAAGAATTGCATGGGAGAAAACACAATGTATTACCAAGACTGGTCTGTCCTACAATAAAGCAGACGTCTGGTAATTCAGGAATTCCACAGAACTTAACCACCCTCAAATGAGCTTTGACAGCACCTTCAGTGAGCAGGCTTCCACCAAGGGGTACAGAGTCTCAAAGATGAACCACGCATCCGCGCGCACACACACTCACCAGACAGATAACTGGGAGGATGCATTACCCCAACACATGTCTGCAGATCACTTCAACATACAACCCCATCTGAACACTCATGTCTGAACGTGCTTCTTGGCATTCTCCCTCTTCAACTAGTCGATGCCTGTCATTTAGGGTAAATCTGGTTGGGAGAAACCATAAGGATCTGAGGAAACATTACCAATTTTCTCAGGGGTTCTGGATGTTTTTCTCACAAACAGCTTCTTTGCTAGTGGCTCATTCCCTAGTTCCTTGTAGTCCGCTTTCCTCTTCTCAGCTGATTTTGCCTCTTCTGGCCAATGCTCGTGTGTCCTCTCGTGCTTCTTGTCTTTTGGCTGGTTCACCGGAGCCATTCTGTCTGACCACTAAAAGCAAACAAAGTGTGGAAGGTAAGACTGCCGGACACTCTTAACTAGAGGACAGAGAGGAAAACTAGAATGAAACACATCCCAGTGGTCTGAAAGTGGTGATTAAACCTGTACCCTCTTTCATCAGCATGACACTAGCTTTTTGTTGTGCTCTGCTGGAGAGGGGAACAGGTTCGATAGACACTTCTTTGTTTGCAGATTAAAATGAGCGTATCCTAAAGCATTAAAATATGTTTTGACAGATGTGCTCCTACCAAACATTTAAGCTTCAAACCCACAGATCTGCATAAAGCACATCTGCGAAACCGCACAATACCCTGACTGTTTCTCCAGCAGCTCACACTGAGCTCTTCAGATTCAGCTACGAAAGAGCTCCGAGCTCTTACAGCGGCGGCCCGGGCCAGCCGGCCTCCCACCCGACGCGCTCAGCAGACACCTCC